TAAATTCCAACAGCTTATCCAAGCAAGTGCGTCCATTTAGTTTTCGTGGAATCGCAATTTTGATTCGTGAATTAAGGTTCTCAATTCGATTCGTAGTTTAGAAGCAGCCCAGCCATCAGACGAGATCGGAGAGAATGGGTTGAAAAGAGATCTTCTTTTCTATCGAGCAACCACTTCTTTAGAGCCGGCGCAAAATTACACTTGACAATCTCCGCTTCCATCGCTTCTGAACTCATTACATTGAAAATTCCATTTTCAACTTCATCTCCAATCTGTCTTCCGAAAATTTTGTTCAAATCTGACTGGCTTATATTCTTTTTACTTTGAATGAATGTCAAGTTGTTTCGACGATGTACTAGACACCTGAGAACTTGAGTGTCTTCCAAATATTTCATCTGAAAGAAACATGAGACTACACAAATTTAAAGTTTTCTATACCTTGCTGTAATATTTAAAAGATTCTTCGCCGTCTGTCATCAGTGATGGAATTGATTTTTTTCGCATAGGATCAACTTGCAGGAAGAAATCGTCAATTTCGCGAGCAAAACTCTTGTGATTTAGTGCATTTTTCGACGAGGAAATCATGAATCCTAAAAGAACATGGCGAATTTTTCCGCTGCAGCGCGATGTGAAGTCTCCTATATCTCCAGAGATTGTTGTCACAACACAATCTGACAAATCAAAAGTGCTATCAATCTGTAACTGTCCAGCCATATGCTTAATAATCCCACTATTTGCTGTCGGACTGTAACAAGATAAAAAATCATTGACTTCTTCTGAAGTCCAATCTTCGCATCCAGTTAAAAGCTTTCTATATTCCAGTACAGTTTGTTTTGTCGGTAGACTATTCATATAAAGATTCAGTGTGTCCGAATCGAGATAAATCGCTCCAAACTGGTTATCTAAAATGAAAAAATTATATTTTCAAAAAAACGTTCCTGTTTACCACTAGAAAATAGACGGAAGCCATTTTCTGTTCCAAAAGATGCGAGTGATTCTGGTGTTGTCACGCTCACGCGGCCCCTCTTCGACTTCACACAATCCGGCTGATACTTCATCTGGTTTCTGATTTGGCGGGTACTGAAATTAAGGGCTCCTGATTTTAGATCTTCGAAAGCTCCTTTCACAGTTCTTCCTTTCAGGGACCGATGAATCAATTGACACTCTGCTTCTGAATATTTGAATTTTATATAAACGCTTTTATTAGAGCAAAGTTGTTCTTACCAGTTAGTCTGTTAGGTTTTGATGATTTCAGAACATCGTAGTCCATTCGACCATTTTGAGACACGTATACTACGAAAAAGAACTCTTCCTTCTCCGGATAAATCTCAAATTTTTTGAAAGCATCATCATTAGGATTGATGCAATTGTAATATCTGTAAGAGCATCCATCGTATTCGATCTTTCTGGGTCTCGGACGGATTTTTCTACCTGAAAAGAAAATAATAAAAATGAATTGAAAATCAGCTGATCCTACCATTCGTTGTCTTCCACCAAGACAGTCCATCACAAAGTTTATGATCTTCGTTTCGAAATTTTGCGAATTTCACTGACGGTTCCGAAAACACTGGCAAACGAAAATCGGTGAGATTTGACGATGTCACACTGAAACAGATAACTTGGTTTTAAAATTAAATTTTCTTTTTCAACTGACCAGTTTTCAATGATATCTTTCATCGTTTTAACTGAAAATTTGTTCGAATAGGGACCTGTTCTCCATATGCCATCCTCATCCAAATCAAGCGAAAATTCTTTTATTGGTTCTCCTTGGGCAGATATTTTCGTTTTTTCTGGTTCATTTTGGCCGTCACTCGACATTTTAATTTCAGAATCACTCTCGTCCATTTTGAGATTTTTGTAAAATCACAAAAACGTTCTGAAAAAAAGATGAAAAACGAAAAAATAGGACAATTGGTAGTTCAAAAATACGTCATCGATTACGTCATATGACGTCATCGATTACGTCATACGAAAAATGAGTCTAGGACTGAAAATGGTGACCAGAACTACTGTGATAGCCAAAAATTCATAATCTTCCACAAATTTCTGCAAAAAAAAAATACGAAAAACAGTCGAAAATCGTTGAAAATCGAGAAAATAGGAGGAAAAATAGAAAAAATTGCCTTCGTAAATCGACAACGGCCCCTGGCCTAGAAAATTCCGGAAACTCTTCCATGAGAATTTCGAGCAATTTTTTGGGATTCAAACACAGAACTCACAGTAAAAGACACATTTTCGAGAAAAAAAAGCAAATTTCTTATATAAAAAATTGTTTTAAACACTGACAGATAAAGTACAGAAGTGAGCGATTGGAAACGACGATGGAATCAGCTGAAATCAAAATCCTGGCCTAAAAATAATTTTTTTCAGACAAAAATCCCTTAATTTCCGATTTATTTCTGATTTCGGAAGACAAATAATAGGTTTTTTTTTTCATAGTTTTGCTGTCAGAATTCGGAATTCATGCCTTTTCATTGGTTTTTCCTTCATCTCTACAAAGTTTTGTAAACTACAGAAGTTAAAAAAAAACTAAATGAAATCTAACAGAAAAATTTCAGTGCCGAATTGAATTTTAAATTACGTTGTGTCCACTTTCAGATATAGTCGTGGGAAATCTTCCGGAAGTTGTTTTTTCTCAACCTCTTTCACTTTCTTCCTGCTTTAGAAACCACCGAATATGTACGGGTTGCGGTTGAGAAGGGAAACTGGGTGAATTGGTGTAGTGGTGCGCGTGGGTGCACGAAAAACTGAAGTCGCGAGTTCAATCTCGACCAGATCCGAACTTTTTGTTTTTGTGCAACTACCTAGATGTACCCCTTCAGACTGCGTACCCACTCAGTCAATGTACCCCTTGAGCATGATGTACCCTATTTCGATGTACCCCTGGAGAATGGACCGAAATTCTGTCCGAGTTTCTGAGATTTTGAAGTGCTGAAAATCTGAAATTCTCAGACTGTGAAGTTCCGAAATTCTCAGGTTCCGAAATACTGAAATTCCAAAGTTCTGAAATTCAGGAATTCAGAAACTCCCTCAAAAAAAATTGTACCCCCGAATCACAAGCGTTGTACCCCTAAATGAAATGAGTTGTACCCCAGAATCATTGGTAGTTTGTACCCCCGAATCGTTGTACCCCCGAATTTTTGTACCCACGAATTTTTTACCCCCGAATCATCAATTTTGTACCCCTAAATCAGTTGTACCCCCTTGTACCCCCGAATCATTGTACCCCCCGAATTTTTGGCCCTCGGAAATTGGTAACTTTGATAGGACTGAAACTTTTACCTCCGGTATATGAAAATCAAAAAACAATTCATTATTGCTATCAGAACTCCACAAACCACACCGATTGATGATACGATGAATGGAAGAAGCATTTCTCAAAAATTATGAATGATCTGAACAATGAATGTGAATATATGTATCAACGTTTAGAAATTATTTTCGCTCGAATGAATTCTATACTTTTCTAGAAAGAAGTTTTTCTGAGATGTAACGAGAAGAAAGAAAAAAAGATAGACTGTTTTTTTGAACTTAAGAATACAAGTACAAAGTTCAGAATTAGGAGAATTTCAGAATAATCAAAGTCTGAGATGTAGAATTTTCGGTTTATGTTTTGTTAGTGGTCTATGAAACGAGACAACGGAGCTGTTGTTTTCTCGTCACATAAGCTGCACAAAAATTTAATCAAAGTGAAATAATATTATTGTCGCCAAAGACAATATTTCAAATTCTAGGTTAAACCACTATTTTTCTGAATTTCAATAAGTCACACTTATCAAACCATTCGAAAAAGAAACGGCTACTTGGAGCCTTCTTATTTCATTGAAGATCAATAATCGGGTCATTTTATTAGTGGAGTCGTTTTATTTCTCAAAAGATTGTTTATTTCCTAAATTCCAGCCAAAAGATCTTTATCTTTCGGCTGACAGTGTTAGTCCAGTATGACCAAAAACTGACAATCCTGACAATGTGAAGGAGCCAAGTGTATATGAATGTTTGGATTGTATTATTTTTTCTGTATCCATTCATATAAAAATTATTTTCACGTCTTTATTTTCAAGTTTTTTTGTGAATATCTAGGTCAAAAATTGAAATTCTAGATTTTTGAAAACACCCTCGGATTGCCTTATTTTTTCTATCCATTCAAATAAAAATTATTTTCACGTTATCATTCTTTAGAGTTTTTTAAATATCTTGGTCCAGAAATGGAATTTCAGATTTCAAAGGCACTTTTGGATGGTCCCATTCATATGAAAGTTATTATCACTTTTTCATTTTCATGATTTTCTTAAATCTCGGTAAAAAAAATTGAATTTCGGAAGTTGAAAAACACGTTTAGATTGTCCTTTTTTCTGAATCCATTCGTATGAAAATTATTTTCATGTTATCATTTTCAAGATTTTCCTAAATATCTGAGTCAAAAAATGGAATTTTTCGATTTTGAAAACACGTTTGGATTACCTTATTTTCTCTGAGTCTATTCATATAAAAATTATTTTCACGTTATCATTTTTAAGATTTTTCTGAATATCTTGGTCCAAAAAAGGAATTTTGGAATTTCAGAAACACATTTAGATTATCCTAATTTTTCTGAATCCATTAATATAAAATTATTTTCACGTTATCCCTTTTAAGATTTTCCTAAATATCTAGGTCAAAAAATGGAATTTTTCGATTTTGAAAACACGTTTGGAACGTTCTATTTTTTTCTGAATCCATTAATATAAAATTATTTTCCCGTGATCATTTTTCAAATCATTATGAATATCTAGGTCAAAATTAAAAAATTTCAATTTTGAAAACACGTTTGGATTGTCCTATTTTTTTTCGGAATTCATTCATAAAAAAAATATTTTCACGTTATCATTTCGAAGAATTTCCTGAATATCTCGGTCCAGGAATGGAATTCTCGAATTTTAAAAGCACGTTTGGAATGTCCTATTTTTTTCTGAATCCATTCATATAACAATTATTTTCACGTTATCGTTTTCAAGATTTCCTTGAATATCTCAATCCGAAAACGGGTTTTTCTTCAAATTTTAATATTCGTCCAATTTTTTCTCTATAATTCCAGAACATATTTTTCAGGAGCTTTCTGATACACTAACCACATCGTGAATTGACGAATTTCCTCTTCACATTCACACAACAACTTCAGTATGCCCAATGTAGTTTGTATGGAATTGTCATTGCTTTTCTCTAAAATATTGATAAGTTTTTCGATTTCATTCCTTTAAGTCTATAGAAAAATGGCGACATCACGAATTGAGGAGAAAAAAAGAAGCTAGGAATGATGATAAAGAGTTCAAAGACAAAAATTATTGAGCTGGAAAAATAGATTTTCCCATTTTTTTCAGGAACTGTAGTTGGGATATAATTCTTTCTAATTTTCTCCTGACTCCAGTTAGAAAGCCGTGGTCACTTGAGCCATTGAATCAGTTGATTTTAACAAAATAAGTGCACTCCTACTCACAGTCCCCCCTGCTCCTTATCAGTTGACGATAGACTTATCAGTGGACGTGCAGACTAAAAAATCAACTCCCATTTTTCCTTTCTCGTATTCTCATCAAGTTTCTTTTATAAAAGTCCATCCCTCCCTCAAATTATTCACTTTCAAAATGCTCAAACTTTTAGTATCACTTGTTCTCCTTTCAGCAGTTTCTGCAGATGGGACCAGTAAGTTTCCGCTTTCATTCCAAATCTTAAAAAGCCCATTTTCAGCCTGCAAAACTGGAAACATCGTGAACCGGCGGGTAAACGGAGCCGCTTACTATTTTCCTGCCACGTGGAATGAGACCCTCCCAGCACCAAAGTTAGCCAAAGAGCAGTCTTGCAGTTGGACAATTACTATTCCATCGGGATACTATGTGAAAGTGATTATCGATGGAAAGACAACTGATGAGGATTCAAGATTCCAAATGATTGATTCTGTTGGGCATTTTATACAGTGAGTTGCTTTTGAGCTTCTCAAACTTACGGATGGATTTTCAGAACAACTCATGAGAAGAAAAACCCATATTTCTTCCCACCTACCAAACTCACTTTGGCTGTTTCTAACTACGCTGAAGCGACATTCGGTTTCAGAATTGAGTGGGCTCAATGTGAGTGATATACCGTAAATACTCTAATAGAATGACACTTAAAGGAGCTCAGACATAAAAAAAAGTTTTCCTGACATTTAGCCTAGAGAACCCCCATGAGGGGCTGAACTCGTGACAGGCAGCTCAGGGGTACAGCACCGCTACCAGCTGAGCCACGGGGGCGAAGGCGGCTGCCGACCGATTACCTACATAAGCGCGGCGCGATTTCGTCCCCCAAACTGTCGCCAAAAACTTTTGCTGTCTCGCCTCCTTTAAACCATTAGCTTTTAGTTTATATGTATATCTCGGTTCCTGTGAGAGATATCAATAATCTGCCAATTGATAAAAAGTTAGTCATATTATGGTAAACGATTTATCAATTAACAGATTTTTGATATCTCTCATAGAAACCGAGGTTATTGAGCTCAAAGTGGGCGAATATACTGGACTTCCATTATGCTCCTCATATGTGTCAATGCAGACAGACTCAACAGATTTTTAAAATCACAAACTCAAAGATCCTGTTTCAGTACCTGCTGGACCTTTTGCAATTCACGGAATCGGTGACGTTGGTAACGTGATCAATGCCACTAACTCGATCTACAACGAATTCTACGGTTCAACGGAAGGAATTTCTCTTCTAGTTTTCCCAGAAGATCGTAAGAACTACTACTCGCTTAGAAGCACTCTTGTGTTTGAGTCAGCTAACACAGGTCTCGGAAACTACATTGACAAGTGAGATTTTCGATATTTTCAATATTTTTCCAGCCTCAACTTTCAGCCTCTACGAAATGTATCGCACCGGAAATCAGTTTTTGTCTCAATCTACAGGAATCGTACTTGTCAACGTTGAAGACAGTGGGAAAACTGACCTTTTGCTAGTTCAATCTGAACAGGATGTCAAGAATTTCACCTATGTAGAATTGGTCACTGTAGCCAACACAACCTACAATGCTACTGTAAATAGTCATCATGAACTCTCGGTTCTAGTTTCAGCTACCCACATCAATCAAACCATGATCAATGTTGAGATTGGAGATGTAAGTTCCCATTTTTCATTTTAGACTCAAATATTTTGTTTTAGACGGACGTTGTAACACAGTACTGGGGAACACCAACCCCATTCTTTTTTGACAAAAACTATACGTAAGATTCTTTTTCTCAATCCTGATAGTAAATAAAGTTATTTTAGAGGAGCCGAATTGAAAGCAGCACTTCCAATCTTCTATCCAGGATACGGTATTATTCAATGGGTGCTTCACAGTGGAAGAGCCGTGTTTACTTTCCAAGCATAACATGATATAGTATTGCAAATTTTAATGAATATTTGTAAAAATAAATGGTTAATCATCAACGAGGTATTCGTTTCTAATTACGAATTTCGTACATTCATGGAAAAGCTGGAAAACCGTAATTGCTCCAGTATTACATTTTCAGCTCAATTATCTCGGTTCTTAGGAGAGATATCAGAAAGTTGTCAACAGATCAAATGTTGGTGATATTATGATAAACATTTTATCAATTGACCGATTTCAGATATCTTCTGAACCGAAATAATTGAGCTCAAAGAAAACGTATGAGCAAATACGGTATTGTCCTTTGAAAGTACAGCCGTCCCAAAAAAAGAGTCCATTATGCAGAAAAGAAGGTTTTCTAGTAAACAGTTTTTTTTAACTCAGAAAATGCTTATAAGCGCTTTGGAAGGTTAATTTTAGTCTTAGCCCATCAAGTTGAGTTTTTTTATACGAATTTCTAAACTTTAAAGAAAAAGGACAGGAAACAAATTATTGAAATTTTGTTCATATAAGCCCCTCGAGGAGTTGAATTTGTGGGACAAGTATTGAAGGTGCCGACTTGCTACCAGCTGAGCTACGGCGCCGGAAGCTGAGGTTGCGACAATGTTATAAATGCAAGCGTGTGTGAACACCGATTACTGTACACCGCCACTTCAGAATGCCTACCGTAACTCCAGAAAAACTTTCAAAAACCCCACCCACCTACACAAAAACTATGCTTGGCGTAGTTTGTATTGAAACCCAAGTTTCTCTCTTTTCAATCATTCTTTGAAATCGCCGAAACTGTCTAATAAAAGTGATGGAAAAAATGGTGATAATGTTCAAGAAGAGTTCAAAGACAAGAGATCAAGATCAAAGAGTCATAGAGACCTGAGCTTGACATCTAAGCACCCCAATGAATTTTATCTACTGATTTTATCATACAATCAGTAGATTAAGAGAACAGCTTTTTATCCAAACCAAAAAAAAATGTTGCACTTGATCTATACACTCCTTTGACTGCACTTCGAGTCTGTCTTATCAGTGCAGACGTGCCCGACTAAAAAATCAACTCTCATTTCCTACTCATTGTCATCTTCTTTGTTCTATAAAACGACTGCCCTACCTAGTATTCCAGCAACTCAAAATGCACAAGCTTTTGATATCATTGGCAGTTCTGTCTGCAGTTTCTGCAGCAGGACACAGTAAGTTTATATTTTGAAATTCCAATTGTGTAACCACTGATTTTCAGCCTGCAAAACTGGAAATGTCGTGAACCGTTTGGTAAGCGGTAAACCGTATTACTTCCCTGCCACGTGGAATGAAACCATGCCTGCACCAGAATTGGCAAAGGAGCAAACATGCAGTTGGACTGTTACTATACCACAAGGGTATTATGCCAGACTAATTATTGATGGAACGGTCAGGGATAAGGATTCGAGATTCCAAATTATTGATTCCGTGGGAAACTTTATTCAGTGAGTTTTTTGTCCAATTGAGCTTAAGGCGCCATTCGAATAGTAAAGTTTGAGCACAAGTTTGAGCCGTAACTCCATTATTATAGAGTTACGATACGACATATTTTATTTACAGAACAACTCATGAAGAAATGGACCCATATTTCTTCCCACCAACCAAGTTCACTCTCGCTGTATCCAACGAAGGTGTCACTACATTCGGGTTCCAAATCCAGTGGATCGCGCGTAAGTTCAATCTTTATCAATTTGTCGATTTTGGGACTTTTCAGACAACAACACTGAAACCGATTTCGCCTTTATTGGGTCTCTCGACCACGATCTCAACGTCACGAGCAGCGTTTTTTGTGAAGGACTTGGTGGGGAGGAAGGAATCTCGTTGCTCGCGTTCCCACAAAATCGCAAGCATCCATACTCGCTTCGTAGCGTGCTAGTTTATGAGGCGCCCACAAGCCAACAAATCGGAAATTTCATCAACAAGTGAGTCGAAAGATTTTTCGGGTCATGGGTAGGTTGCTGTGGACCAAATCGCCAGACGCGCCGACCTATCGGTCAACTCGGACGGCTGAGTCGGCAATCCTTACCCATATTTTTGACATTCTCAAATTTTTAAAATAGTTCATTTTCAGTTTATATGAAATGTACTTGACCAAAAAACAATGGATTTCCAACACTCCCAGCATTGTGATTTGTAATCTCGAAGTCAGCAACAACACTGACTTCCTAATTGTTCAATCTTCCATTCGTAAGTTGTTCGTAAGTTGCAACACAATAATTTTATTCTCAGTTTTGCAGATACCAAGAATCTCAACTACGTCGAGTTGGTTACGGTACCCGGAACCACATACAACGCCACGGTGAACAGTGAAAAGAAGCTGTCAGCATTGATTTCCGCTTCGTATTACAATCAAACCATGACCGATGTTCAGATGGACGCTGTAAGTTGTGTTTTCGATTAAAGATTATGCAAAAAATACATTTTCAGTCTTCTGTGATCTCCCTCTATTATGGAACGCCAAGCGGATTCACTTTCGATAAGAATTACACGTAGGAGTCCATACATTCTAGATGTTTGAAAATTTCTTGAAACTTTCAGAGCCACTGAAATGAAATCGGCCCTTCCAATGGAGTATCCAGGAGGAGCTTATACGGTTCAATGGGTTTTGAACAGTGGAGAAGCTGTGTTCACTTTCCAGGCATAATAATAAAGTTCAAATTAATTATTTTTTTAAATAAACGATTGAGCATCCATTTCGCACCCAAATCAGACTTTTAACTTTGAACTTCAACTTCTCACTTTTAACTTTGAACTTCAAAATGATATCAATATTTTTATCACTTGAGCCATATCTTATCAGTAAAAACGTGCAAATGGGAAAAGCCCCACCTAACTTTAATTGTCAGACTTCTCCCACGACGTCATTTCCAATTGTTAGCAGCTTTTCAACAATACAACTTTTCCAAAACGTGCCAAAAGCTTGAGTATTGCAGTTCTATTACCGTAAACACTCTAATAGAACGTCCCGAAAGCAGCAAATTTTAAGTCAATTTATCTCGGTTTCCTGTCAAAAATATGAACAAGTTGTCAACTGATAAAACATCTTAAATATTATGTTAAAGTTTTTGTCATCTGATCACTTCTTGATATCTTCAACAGGAAGCGAGATAAATTGGCTCAAAATTTAAAGGGGTTTTTGAAGTACAAGTTGGCTATGCTAGATTGATTATTGGTGGATAAAACGAATATGGAATTTCCAGTCTGTATAGTTACAACCCGTACAAATGGGTCGTGCGAATTTTTAAACTTTTACAAAAAAATATGATTTGGTACTTTGATCAACCTTCAAACCCAATTCAAATGATGTTTTTTCCCGCTATTTTTACACACCAAGACATCACGAAGAATTCTTTAATGATGGGGTATTGTGTGATATAAATCTATACTTTCAATCTGCGCTAGTTTCTTTGAACCCAGAATCATCATTTTAGAAAAAATGCTTCCTGAAGATTCCAATCGATTCGTCCCTATTGTTTCAATCTATTTCAAGCTCTATTTCGGATCGTGTATCATTTTTCAGTGTGGTTTACTCTACTTGATATTCACAAAATCGCCTTCAGTGTTATCGAATTTGAAATTCTTCCTGATAAATACTTCTTTCATTCAAATCTTACATGCTTGTTCTGTTTTTTTCTCCCAGGAAAGGTATATGAAAAACCGCAAAAACTGAACAGTTCTTTTTTCTCTAGAATCATACCAAACACCAGTTCAACAGCTATTCTTTATTATGGACCATGTCGGATGTTTGGACCAAATATTTGTTTTGCATCGCATCATTTTGTACTAGCATTAGCCCTCGGATCAGGGTTAGCTGTTGCGAGTACTGTTATTTTTAGACATAGAACTTTGAGAATGGGTAATTTCAACGGGAAGCGAGTCGTGTTTATAATATCGTCAGTCTATGTTCCTGTAATCGTTATGATAGTATGTCTTCCCTTTTTACCAAAACCCTTTTCAATTTATTCTCAGATTCTCCCATTCACTGTGCCCTGGGACTTCGAAACTGTTCGGGATGCAACTTATAAGGATCATCCTACATATAACTTGACAATTTATGAACCGATTGGCGGATTTGCTAGTCACGACAACTTTCAATTTATTTTCAATACTGGTTTAGAAGCAGCTAGTTCCTATGTGATTCCAGTGATAACTGGAATTTTAACAAAACGGATACTGAAAATGATAAATAAAAGTTCAGTAGTTTCGTCAAAAACCAAGCAGCAGTTCGAAACACTGACATGCGTAAGTTAAAGATGGTGTACTTTGGGGTTGAACTGGTGGGGCCATTTTTAATGGTTCCTCGTCGCTGCCGGCTGAGCTATGCGATCGCGAACATAGATGCCGGCCAAACGCATGAAACTTGCTTTGGCACCATTCTTTCAAAGAAGGTGGGACACGAGACTTTTCAGAGTTTTTTTTGGAGTTATGGTATGCATGTTGGCGGGACGGTTGGCGGGATAGATTGACTATTGTTGACACTGTCCGTGGCTATTGTGCTGCTTGTTCGGACTCGATCATTCGGCTGTCTCAGCTTGTGCCATCGTAGCTCAGCTGGTAGCGACGCAGCACCTCCATTGGCCAGCCCACAAGTTCAACTCCTCGAGGGTTTATTTGCACAATAGTTTGACGAATTTTTTTTCGTATCGACTTTTCGTTAAAGAGTTCTTAGACACACTTTTCCATTTCAGGGACTGGCTCTTCAAAACATCCTACCCGCTTTTTCTTATGTTCCACCTGCCACTGCCTGGATCATAAGTCAGTTTGGAGAAGTCGAAGTTTTGTGGAATGGTGAAATGTGTCAATTTGATACAATATCCAATGAGAAACATTTCAGAACACCTCCTCATTATATTTATAAGCTTCCCACCACTTTTGGATCCTCTACTAACATTTTATTTTGTTGTTCCCTTTCGACATGCAATTTACAATTTCATGACTTTCAAAAAGACTGCGCAGGATACTATAACTACTAGTAATCAAAGTGGAAAGTGGTTTGGACCGGTGCAGAAGAACACAATGGTTCAGACATTTTGATTGAATTATAAAGCTTCTCCAGTTCAAAATGTGTTCTAGCTACAAAAAAATTGTTTTCAGCTCAAATGACTAATATTATTGTATTGTCTAGAATGACTAACTTGCTAGGGAAATAGGAAAAATAAAACTACAAAGTAATTGTACACAGTGTTCTCATGGGTATTATTTAACCGGAAATTTACTTCTTATTTCCTGCCATTATGAATGGAATAGAATGGAGTGCTCTACTCAAACGAATTCAGGAGATAACTGCCTTCTTTTCTATTACTGTCAACTTTTTGTTAATTTATCTAATCGTCACTAAATCTCCAAAAAACCTCGGTGCCTATAAATATCTAATGGTTTATATATCAGTTTTTGAAATTGTTTATGGTATTTTGGATGTGATTTTGGCTCCGGTAAAAATTTTGTTTCAACCATTTTAAAACGAAAATTTGTTTTTCAGCAACATTATTCGCACGGACCCACATTTTTAGTCATCGTCGGTACTCAGGATAAAATGTTTGGTCCCGAAACTCTCACTATCCTGAATGCATGTTGGTGGGGATTTTTCGGTGCTTCAATGGCAATTTTCGATGTACATTTCGTTTATCGGTGGCTGGTAGTATCCGAGTAAGTGGCAGCTTCCATCTTTTGCAATAGTTTTGAAGGGCCAAGGTTACTGTATGATAAGGGCTGCTGTCGTAGAAATTATAAAGATCAAAATCACTGTGACTACCCCATGTAATTGTAGCCTGGGTGCTAGAGCAGTGAATGCGATAGTGTACACTAGGCCAGTTTAGGAAAACATTAATTGGGTGAAAAACCATTCTGGATGATTCTAGAAGAACCGAGTGAAGAATTCTGAAGGATTCTGGAAGATTCTAAAGGGTTCTAAAAGGTACTAGAGGATTCTGCAGGATTCTGGAAGATTCTAAAGGGTTCTGAAAGGTACTAGAGGATTCTGCAGGATTCTCGATAATTCCAAAACGTCCTATAAGATTCTGGAGAATTCTAGAAGATCCTACAAGCTTCAAGAAGACACTATAGTTTTGAAGAGCCAGGGTTACTGTATCTTTAGATGTTCGATTGTATAGGAAGTTTAGAAGATTAAGATTACTCGAATTAGGGCACTATCTTCGAACGCTGGGAAATTTTCCAGGCACCATCTTCTGGAATCTTTCAACGATTGGAGAGTGGTTCTTTGGTTTTCGATTCCACTATGGTACGGTCTCACGTGGGTGTGTACCGGATATTTTCTATCAGCTGCCAATGAATCAACTTCTAGATTCATAAAGTATGTTTTCCAATTTTCAGAATTTGAAAAAAGTTTTGAGATTCCAGAGACAACATAAAACAAAAATTCGGGTGGGACTTCAACGATTACATTTATCTGGGCCCTTATTTATACGAGGTATTGGAGGATGGATCTTATGATTTTCACTGGATGGCGTTTCTGGGTCAAGGAATAATCACTGCCACTATTGTGAGTTTGATGGGAAGAAACAAGAAACTTAAAATTTCAGAATTTTCCAGATCTCCTCCGTAGTCATTGTTCTCGTATTCGGTTACCGTTGCTACGATCGTATTAGTCATCTAGTCGCGACGTCATCATCTTCAGCGAGATTCCAAAAACTCCAGAGGCAACTGTTCTATGCTCTTGTTATTCAGACATTCATCCCTTTTGTCTTGATGCATATTCCTGGAGCTATTATGGTGGCATTTGTATTTATGAATATTGACTTGGGGGTTTATAGTGCCGTTCTCTCTATGACGATTGCTATTTATCCGGCAGTGGATCCATTACCAACGCTTTTTATTGTGGAAAGTTACAGGAAGGCTTTATTAAGTGAGTGGCTAGTGATTGATCTTTGAATTGTAACTGGTTTCAGGATTCCTAAGATGTCAGAAAAAGACCAAACCAAATGTTTCTAGTGTCGCGACGATCTCTTCAAGATTTTAGCGAAATATGAACAATAAACCATTTATTGAAATCTTAATCATTTCACAGAAGTATTATCACATCACAAATCACCATTTGATAAGTTATTATAAAAAAGGATAAACTTGAAGTGTCCATAAAAAAACCAGTTATGGCGCTCAAAATAAAAACGATAGCGATGAGAGTTAGAACATTGTTGATGCTCCTTATTCTGCAAAATTTAAAGGTGTTGGGAATCTTAAAATTGAAAAAAATACCTCGCAAGTTGAGCGATTTCCATATCTCTTGGGGTGCGGAGCGCCGCGTATTCGAGTTTTGCAGAATCCATTCAGACAATAATTCAATACTAAACACTTGACTTTATATACCAATGTATGTATAAAAACCTAAACTGTGGAACAAAATATATGAGGAATTTTATGAGTAACATCTGTCATCAATTAAAATAATTCATAGTAAACAGAATGAGTCATCATGTTCTAGTGTCTGCCATTTATCGATTTTCAGTTTTTTGACAGAATCAACCACATTGAAGGAGGAGCGACAGAAAAACTTTTAGGTTTTTTGGGGCGTGAGCTACCGTAGTCCAGCTGGTAAAAACTCGGTAATTCCAAACGGTAGGCTCACAAGTCTAACTCATCAAGGTGCTTTTGTGAAAAAAATATATAGAAATATATGTTTCATGTTCCCCTTTTATTGAAATTTTTGCAAGGTCATATCTTGTCTCTATCATCTTATCAATCTTTATGAAAAATATATGTGTGGTTTTGAATCAAAACTTTTGATTGAGAGAAGAGAATCAATTCTTCTCGATTATTCTTTATCAACAGTTTTCTTTATCGCTATTTATTGTTTCAATGGAGAAAGCAGAAAACAATGAGCTGCTACAAGGATCGCAGAAGAACTTTCGATCGGTTAAGTAAGAAAATAATAAGCTAATTCATTATTCGTACACAGATTTCTTCAGTTACGAAAATTTGGTCAGCAGGAAGAATAGAAGCTTTGTCTGCTTTTGTTTGGGGTTTCTGGTTAGCACAATTTTGGCTCTTATTTCTTATGGAGTGGTACATGGAATGTTCCCATGGTTTGGTGTTATGGATGGTAGGTAAACAATTATTTTCGTCAGATGACTAATGATTAAATTCATTCAGATAGTAAATATAGTTGGATAGATGAAACGAGAAGTAAAAGTGAGACGGGTGGAAAATGCCAAAAGCGAATTGTAGCATATCACGATCTATTCACACATGAGAAACTCACAGAGAATCAACTATCAAAACTCACTCATCTGATTATATTACCACTCCATGTTCAAGAAACTGGAATTTTGGTATTTGAGAACGATGAAAAGAAGGGGAGGTTTGAAAAACTAGTTTCTGAAGCTCGAAAGTATCCTGATTTGGTTACAATGTTCTCGATTAACAACGGATATGACAACCATGAAACATTGTCAAAAGTCATAGGAAATTCAGAAGTCAGAAGGTAGGTTATAAATTGATAAACGCTTGAATTGCGAATTTTTGTTCAGCGGAGCGTGAGTTGTAATCTCTCTAATACATAGATTACACTAACCGTCCACTTTGAGCTCATAAATGCCATTTCATGTGGAAGATATCAGAGAATGGTCAATTGACAAAAATTTAATGATAATATCACCAATACTTGGACAGTTGATAGATTTTTCATATCTTTCATAGAAACCGAGATAAATAAGCTGAAAGTGTTTAAATTAGCGCATAAATAAGCTCCAAGTTCAGTCAAACCGTCCATTTTGAGCTCAATTATCTTTATTCCTGTAAAAGGCATCAAAAAATTTGTCAATCGATACGATACAAATTTTATCAGTTCACAAACTTTTGTTATGTTTCCCAAGTATCGAGATAATTGAGCTCAAAGTGGACGGTTTGGGTGGGCTTCTTTTAAAGGAAATACTTGCAGTTTTAATTTTTGGCTTGGTAGAGCCCCCTTAACAATTTTGTTTTTCAGAAGCTTCATTGAGAATGTTATTGCCGCTATTTCGGCATATCACCTTGACGGAATGGATGTTTATTGGAGATGGCCTCAAACTGACAACGATATTTCCAACTTGATTTTATTCTGTAAGGAACTTCGAGAAAAACTCAGTGCGTTGGCGATTCGGTCTAGGCGGAAGATGTCATTTGTTATTAGCGCTATTCTGCACCATCACCCAGTGTCCGCCAACTTTCAAAGTATTTTCGATTATGTGGATTTTGTGACAATTGAGACGAGGAACTACTACGCACCATGGTTTGAAGAGTTTCAGCATCTGACCGGACCAGCCACACCGTTAAGCTCATTATACGGAGAGCGGAGAGACGAAAATGTAGATAAGTCAATGACCGAGTATTCTTGTCTAGGCAAACAGCCAAGTAAACTGAATATCTTGGTAGAATTTGCTGGAAGATATTGGGAAAATGTTATCAAGTCTGATAGTACTTGGTGGATGGAATCAGAAGTAGCAAATGGAGTGACCAGTGGAGGGTGGATGCCATGGTGGAAATTAAAAAGATCGGAATGGAACATTTCGTCAGCTTCTTGGAATAACGACTCCAAAACTCCTTATGTTTGGAATCCGATGGAGAGGAAATACTTGGCATTTGAAAACGAGAGAAGTTTGGAAGAGAAAGTGAAGTATGCAATGGACCATAATATCGGAGGCATCGCGGTGTGGAGAATTGATCATGATGACGAACAACGAACAATGTTAAATTCTTTATCTAATTTGTGTTCTCAGAGTTACCGCAATAACGCCTCCTCATTATCATATTACTGTGAGAGCGCAATCTCTCAACTTCCTCAATTAGAGCCGTCTATTTTTAAGAATAATGCTCCAAGTGGGATTCACTAGAATAAAATTGTTTGGGTTGCGGCTTATTCTATGTATTCTATACATCGTTATCAGAGTTTCCTAGCCAAGAAGGAACTGATCCAAAGCCAAGGTCCATCGAAATGAAATCCTGAACTGAAAGTTTTTTCATTTCCGTGAGTAGCAATATTGTCGTAGGGGTTCCAGATGTAAGGAGTTTTAGAGTCATAATTCCATGATGTATTCCTTCTATAATTCCTCCTATGTTCCATTTCGATTTTTATAACTCCTTCTATATTCCATTTCGATTTTTGAAGAGCTTCCCAAGACAAAGCACCGCCGATCACTCGTCCATTTCTCTTGTTCGCAGTCATCCAGAAGGTATCAGAATCATTACTTGATGGGATGACATTCTCCCAGTATCTGCTTCCAAACTCTACAAGAATGTTCAACTTGTTTCAGTTCTTCGAAAAATAAGTTGACCCTAATTGCACAACCATTGGTAAGAAAACAATATGTGTCAATGTTGAAAGTTGGTCCTCAGTTACTTCTTTGTTGGACTGCAGATCGTGAAACCCTACCGTTCGCATTTCGCATATTTCAAAACAAAAAGTTTCGACAGTTAAAAAATGCAAGATTTTTTTCCCTTGAAACTTTTGCATTTTTCCAAATTTCGAGTTCTGTTCTATCAAGTTCTTAATAAGAAACCAATGCCAAAATTGTGCTTATAATGAATCCAGCACGAAAATACAAGGATACTCGATTGCTCACGAATCCTTGATAACTGAAATATTTCTTGGGTTGTTTCAGTTTTTTTTTTCTCGGGTTGTTTCAGTTTTTATTTCTCGGGTTGTTTCCGCGCTCCACGAACTTCTAACGGATCATAGACAATTGACTTTCGATGCTCTGGTGACCTGTTGTTCATTTTTAGAATGAATGATCATCCAATAAAGCATACCTGCAAAATCAGGGCCCGGCCCGCGGGTAGGGCCGAAGACTTCTAGGGTCTTTCCAGATTTGAAAAAAATTTTGAAATTTCAGACATTTTTTCAACGTTTTTTGTAAAATAACTATTTTTTATGCACACTCTTCTCTTGAAAAATTGTATTCTTGTCAGAAAAATCGTCCATTTTTTTCTGATGACCCCAAAAAAAATTTTGAAATACAGAAAACATTTTTTTTCCGAAAATTCCGGCCGGGCCGGGTCCTGAAAATTTTGAAAAAAGCCCGGCCCGGTCCGGCCCGTTGCAAGTATGCAATAAAGGCAATGAGCGAATGCGGCAAGGGTCTTACATACATAGATACACATTGCTGATCGTAGATGGAGAAAGAATAGAAGATAGAATGAAGACTAGTAGACTGAATAAAAGAAATCAAAAAAGATCCATCATCAATTATCTAGATTTCTTTTATCAGCAATTGATATTGTGAAATTCTAAGAGCTTGCAATGGCCATAGTGGCAAAAACATTTCTGTAGTTTAGTTATTCCTGTACCTCTGACCAAAAATTTTATTTTTCAATTATAATTCAGAACTACTCATTAAATACTCCAAGGAAAATAGGATGTCCCAAGAATGAAAGAGCGAACAAAAATGGGTGATCTGCCTTGAATTCAACTGGAGTTTCCGTTCTAAACGACATCGGGACAGCTTTCGCCATTGTTGCTGCTGAAGCTACGGTACCTTCTTCGTTAACCTGAATGTTTTATTATTTTAATTGTTGATTAGTTAAGTTTCACCTCAATAAGGGCCTTGTGTACGCCATTGGAAATTTTGATGTTCTCAGCTAGTCCCACTAGGTTAGCTTGATCCGAAAAAATGTCCGTGATACCCATACGCTCCAAACTACTCTTCAGGCTTACTTCCTTTTCCACAGTGAACTTTGGAAGGACAGTCTGAAATATAATTTCTCTTTAAATTTTTGAATTACATATTCTTGTCCACTTACATTCATGAAAGTCCCTTTGCTATTTTTAACTAGGCTCTGGAATCTCTTCGCATCCAATTTCGTCAATGCCTGCTTTAACGTGTTCTTCTCCTTTGGTAGGAATGCAGAAAACTTGAATCGTGAGTCCGTATAATTTAGATGGAGAACTTGGAAAATTTCATCAGATGAGTAGTCACGATCACTCATAAAATCCCTCATAAACTTCATACTTTTTATAGCGCCAGAATAGGTTGTGAAGTCGTGGTCCGATGTGGAGAATCCATCGAAAATCTCCTCCCAGTCGCCTCTGAAATATAAGGCGTTGATCAGAAGTGCAACGGCGTCTTGGAGAGTGTCCTTCGTGGCAATCTCTGTAATTTTTCCTTTGGTTGCTTCTTTGACAAAAGTGTTGACTTCTCGGACAGCTGTCAGCGATGTAAAGTCCAAGGTTTTGGCATCAGCTCCATAGTTTTTGAGGGCTACTGATAAGAATGTGGGGTTGGCAGTGAAACCTCTCCTGAATTTTAATTTGCTGTGAAAATAAAATCAGATGTGCGCTTTGAGCTCAATTATCTCAGTTTATAAGAGAGATACCAAAAATCTGTCAACTGATAAAATTTTCATGATTTTCTGTTAAACATTTTACTTGTTGATCTTTTTAAAATATCTTTCGAATAAACCGAGATAATGAAGCTCAAAGTGCAAATACGGCAATCCCAACTCACTTCAAGTAGACCCGGTTGGCTATATTTACTTGAACACCATTCTCTCCTTTCCGAATGTTCTCGTTTATGTAGGAAAAATGATTCACATATTGGTCATCACTGGCTCCTCTTAACAGGACATCTCCAATTTGTTCCTTGGATCTCCCACGGGCACCGGTATGCACCAACGAGAGAACTAGAGCAATAGATATCGGCGAGAAAACCAGGGACTCATTTTGGTACGGTAGAGTTTGCAGGAAATTGAGACCGAATTGGGTCTCAGCTTGAAGGAACATGGGACCTGAAACTAAGCGAGTATTTAAAAGTATAGAAGGAAACTGATAGATAGAGCTCAGCGGGAGCTCAATGGTGATGAGGTTTTGCTTGTTTACACTGATGGACGAGAGGAAAGAACAAATGTTTGTTGAGGAAGACCGATTGCTTTTCAAGTGTTGATGTTTATGTGTTTTGACACTGATGGAAAGATATGAAAAAGCTGTTGACTAATCAAATGTTGCTGATATTATGACAAACAATTAATTAGTTGAGACAGTTTTGGTATCTCGCATAGGAATGAAGATAATCGGGCTCAAAATTGACAGTGTTAAGGCCCTTCTATTATAGATTTTACTGTATTTCAAAGTAGGGGGAATAAATAGGTTTTCAGCATACTTGTAACGGGCCGGCCTTTTTCCCGAATTTCGGATGCCCGGCCTGGCCCGGCGGGCCTGTCATTCCACAAGTTGTGTAATTGTAATTTGTTTATTAATCAGGTGTAATAAAACATTAGAGGGCAAGACATGAAAGACTCAGAAAATGCCCCTCACGAGGCCGATCTGAGTAGGGGAGGGAAAACGGGATAATTTAGATATTTGACACAGGAAAAATTGAACATTTCAAAAAACACATAAGGGGGACCCTTATGTGATTTTTTTCGCCTTTTTTAAATATTTTTTGATCAAACAGAATCCAAAAAAACAAAAAAATGGAGAAAATTGTATTGAGAGCTCATAATTTTACAAGTATGGTTTTCAGCGTTTTCGCAAACCGAGGATGTGCATTCTGACGTCACGATATGATCAGTGTTCACACAACGCGTTGCGATGGTCCCATATATGGCATTGGTCTGCTTGCACTAGCGTATATATAAACGAAATGTCGACAAAAAACTAACTTCTCGAGGGCTTATGTATTTTCTGTGTAATATAATTTTTATGTCCCTACTTTTTTTCAATATTCAGGAAACCAACTTCTATACTACTAGTTCAAAAAATAATGTGACGCTTCAGCTAACTGCCTCTAAAATGTATGAAACTATTATTCTGACTTGTTTCCAAGGGCACTAAATCACTGATGCGTCTTAATTTTCTATCGGAAGTAATATCTTCTAAAACATGTATTCTCAAGAAGCTCGTTGCTAGGGGTAACTTGCTACTATTCTACCCTTTCGTTTCGTTTCCGTTCAATTCTCTCCCTATAGAAATTCCTAATGTTCCCATTGAAATCTAGAAACAGTATCAGTGAATGCACCCAAATTTTCAACTCGATTTTCAACGAAGAAGTCAAAGAATGGATGGATACCAGTGGATTCTCGCTGACTATATTATTCGTTTATGCATTGCTTTTTGCATTTGGATGCTCTGTTACCGTGAGATTTCTCGTTTTTTCCTTGAGTCGTAATTGTTATCACTTGAGAAATTTATCTGTGAGTTTCAGTATTTCGATTTTATTTAAGAGGTGTCAAAACGTTTAAAACCCTCTACTTTACGGGAACCTTTAAAATGGAACCCGGGACTCTTAAGAACTACCTAAAAACCTGTAATAGAAGGGCCCCCTTTCAACTTTGAGCGAATTTATCTCGGTTCCTATGAGAGGTCTCAAAAAATGATCAACAAATAAAATGTTTATCAAAATATCACAAACATTTTAGCAACTGACACGTTTTTGATATCTTTTGAAGGAACCGAGACATATGTGAATTTTCATCTGACGAGTATAATCGATCGGTTTCCATCTCTCTTAAAACGGGATTGCCATAAGTTCTCCAGATTTCAAAGTAAATTCTCTTGGAGATGTCAAATCCATCTCGAATTCTTCATCCCACTTCCCTTTGAAGTAGATAGCATTCACTAGAAGAGCAACAGCGTCAGAATTTGAATCCGTTGAAACCAGGTTGTCAAGTTTTCCATGAGTAGAGTCCCGAATGAAGGCGTTGATTTTTTCCGATTCTGGGTTTTCCAAATCGAGGGATTCGGCACCTGCATTGTAATTTTCAGCAATTTCAGTAAGATACTCTTTGTTGATTTGAACAGTGTTTCTGAAAATCTCCGTATAACGCTAAAAACTCTTCTGAAGGAACCGAGACATATGTGCTCAAACTTTAGTCTTTTTATTTTTCAGTGGGAATTCACATCACTAATCACAAAGTTCTTTATCATCAACGATGGTTTACTCATGTTTTGGACTTTTTTGTTCACCGGCCTCATGTTTTTGATTTCCTCCGATTATTTCACTCATTTTCAATCTGAATCTATTTTTTTACTCATTCACACTATCGCTGTCTATATGCTACTGATTATGATAACAGAAATTTACTTGACACTAATTTCATTATGGGCAATAGGGAAACCTCAAAATCAGGTTGAAACAAAGTTCGTCAGGAATACAGTATGCTCAACAATGATATGGAATCTTTTAAAATATGGCGGATTCTTTATATGGCTATTTTTAGATACTGTTGACTTGGAAACAGTTGTTTGGGTAGCATTGGTTAGCAATTCGAACTTTAACCATTTTAAAAAAGTTTTTTTTTCAGATATTGCAAAGTCTCAATCTCATACTTCCGTTTATTGCTTTAATTAACCAACTTGTTAGATTATTATCAAGGAGAAACGAAAATACTGATTCGGGAGACTATCCAGGACTCTTAATTCCTGTTCAAATCTATGGAATGAATTCCGCCAAACCAGTTTGTCACATTTTTAAGATAATAATACAAAAAAATCTTTTACAGATTGTCCTTTGTGTTATTTATTTTCTAACCTACGCTTCCGGAAAGCCTGAAACTGTAAGCTACGCTACCATATCCAAAACGTGTACTTGAAGCTCAATTATCTCGGCTCCTTTATGGGATACCAAAAATTTGTCAACTGATAAATTATTTATCATAAAATCACTAATATTTTATCAGTTAACAAATGTTTGCTATCTCTCACAGGAACCGAGATAATTGAGCTAGAAAAGAACGTATGGGGTGGGCTTCAATTAGGGCAAGTACGGTAAGATTTTTTTTTTCAGTACTACTTTCTTCTTCTGACGCTTCTGGACCCAATTCTAATCTCAATAATTGTTCAATATTCTGAAATTGGGCTACTCGATGGATCTGTTGAGCATGAAGAGGATTCTTCGATCTTTTATTAATCTTTGATAATTCAATATCTCTACACAAGTATTTAAAAAAAATTTATTCAGAAATCTTGAAATCTTGACCAGCATCCATATAACAAAGAAATTAAAACAGGGATTCTAGAAATTTAAGATCCATCATTCTGCTCTCCATATTCTTCTCGTACTCCTTCTCCTCGTGCACATTGCTCAACTGTTGCTGGATATCTTCCGGGATACCATTGCCGAATGTCATCCGATCCAGAAGATCAATGTTCTTCTTGAAAAACGTCTTTGTCCAATCCAACTGCTGCTTAATCTGGAGCTCTTGCCCTCGAATGATAATGTGAGCATTTCCGATGGCGTCTGACATCATGACAAAGTCCTTTGCGAGTTGTTCAGCTGGAACCGATGTGAAGTCGGATGTGGGCTCCGGTGCGTCGTCGCCAGAGCAGTTGGATTCTGAATCGAAATCGATAGTGTCGTCATCAATGGGCTTCTTGCAGTTTTGAAGTTCTAACTCTGCTTCCAATTCAGCATACTTCTGCTCCATTGCTTCCAAATGTTCTTGGCATTTGGCCATTGCGAATTCTATCTTTTCTTCAGCCTTTTCTTCAATTCTCCGAATCTTCTCCCGACTGTCCAACTCATTTTTCGCCAACTGGAGTTGCAAATGACAGATGATGTCATCTTTTTCCTTGGATAGCCGCTGGAGAGCAGCGACTTCAGCAAGCAAAGTTTCTAGAGGTGGAGGGCAGGTCGAAGACATTACCGGCAACAACATTGCAGATTCTGAAAAAATAGAGGATTAGCAACAGGTAGAATGGGATTAAGGAGAACGATGAAATAAGACTGTCGACATATTTGAACTACCGCTAAACCATACCGAATAATGAGAACAGATGTCTTCTCTTCACCCTGTCACAACTCACACTCTACTATTCTGTAAGGTCTCTTCAGATAGAACAATAGATTTTATTGACTTGCTCTGTAGTCTTTGACATTATTATCATTATCCAGTGACTATGTGAAGACGTCTGTCATAAATGTATTTACAACTGTCTGCATATAACAAATGCAATGGGAAACCACCAACTAGAGTGTCCCCAACCTTTTGCCTTAACTATTACTGTGTATATTTCGTTTTTTAGTAGTATTTTGGATTAACATTAGCCTTATTACTTCTAGTTTCATGTTGTGTCGTTTCGGCTATTCCAAAAAACAAAAAAACCAAAATAAATGCTTTTGAAATGTTCTTTATTCAATTAATATCTCAAGAAAAAAAAATCACAATCCATACTTTCTTGGATCGAACTTCAAGTCAAAGTTTTTCACATATTCCTCATCAGCAAAGACCATATCTAACTGATCGTACAAATCGGCCACTGCACGAGCTCCTCTCTCCAGTCCCTTTTTTTCATCAGTACTGCAGTCAGTACCTGCGAGAACATGTTTGACACATGGGACCACGGTGGGCGAAAACCCTTTTGGCAACGGGAACTGTTTGTGAAGAGCAACGCAGTTTCGAAGTGATTGATTGATGTCATTCTGGAACGGAATCCATTAGCTTCGGCTTCTTAAGATTATAGAGGTTTTTACCTTTTCAATGCACTCTTGGGCTTCTGTAACTCTTTCCCCATAAAACTCGACTGTGTCAATTTGAAATTTGATTTGCTTCCGTTCTCCTTTACATTCCAAATCACCAATACATTTCATCAAAAAACATTTCATCATCTTCTTAAATTCTCCTCCTAATTGTGAGCCTAATGGAGCAATCGTAGAGCTGGACTCGATTAATTCCTTGCGGGATTCAAACAATTCTCTGGTGAACTGAATTCATAAAAAATTAAGAGCTGTTTTTTTTTTCAAACTCACATTGTTATAAATTCCAGTACAGAAATTGTACCTCTTTGCCTCTGCTACACAAAGCATTTTGTCGTTTTGATGACAAGCGGCAAAGTTCAAAAGAACACTAATGAGAATGAGAAATTTCAACATGTTGAAACTATTCTTTGTCTCTAATTTTAGTCGTATTTTATACTGAAACTACACAAAACAAAGCACATCATTTGTGAAAACATCCAGGAAAATATAGAAATCAGAAAATCAACATCCATGCTATTTTCAGCTGTGATATCATTTTTAGGAAACATAAAAAACATTTTTTCACTGTTTTGTTTGAAATTTCATCAATGATTTCATTTGAATGAGACGCAGACAATCAGACACTCTGGTTTCTCTGCGCTTCTTTTAATTTGTGTGCTACCTAGAATTCGTTGTATTGCTGATCCTTGATCATAGTATCCCTTCTGGAAACCCCTCTCGCTGACCTCATATTTCGAGAAAAGGGTCCAGACTTATTAAGAGAAAATATCTAACCCAATAGATCAAACTTTCGCGCGGGGAGGTTCAGTCTTTTTATCGAATTTTTTATGAGTAATTTTTTATTATTTGTTTTCTTTTTCTTTTTCTCCAGAACCTCAGAAACTTGCTCATTCTTTGCCCATTTCATTTTTTTCAGTGTCCAAAATGATTCCGGCAAGCCTCCTACAAGCACTATTTCCAAATTTGGTGAATCCCCAAAATTTGCCAGAAACCGAAGAAAAGAAACCCGAGAAATTGCCAAAGAAGGACGTTGTCGCTCAAATTGGCTCTCAAAATGAACAAATTCCAAATGGATTCGAAACAGAAATTCCAAGCAAGGAGGATGTATTTGAGGAGGTTTCGGGAAGACTTTCTCATCACACCGAATCTATTACCTATCAGGTAATTCAGAAAATTTTTAGATTGATATTGCTTTGGAGATTGCTTGAAAGTCCAAAAAATGTCAGCAAACTCCATCGAAAATCAATTTTCTACGATTATTTTGAGCCGAGTTATAGACATTTGAAGTTTTCAATGGAGAATGGAGAGACGCAGAGAAACGAGAGTGTCTGGCTGTCTGCGTCTCTCAACGCGGAATTACCATACTCGTCTCAAACTCAAAATATAAACTTGATTTTTAAAATACTCCAATTAAATTTATAAGCGATTTCAATAAAACATAAAATCACAATTTTCAAATTTTCAAAAAAAAAACGTCCCAGGTTACCACCGAGGAAGTGAGAAGACGTCTGTTTGGTCCCGAGAATCTCAACAGCTCTAGTATGGCACAGAATTTGAGAAGGTGAGCAACGTTTAGGAATATTCCAAAATCGATTATTTTACAGAGCAAAATCCCGAGCTGGCGGGGAAATTCTTCGAAAGCAATTGGAACAAAAAGGGGTGACATTGAAATTGAATCAGAGACAAACGGAAGTGTTTCCCAATCAAATGTTTGCATTGGTTGAAGGAGAGGCTATTCATATGGCAAAAGATATGGAGGAGCTTGTTGATGAGCAATATAACAGTAATCAGATTGCTCAGGAAGTTGTCGATGAGCTGGAAGACGATAAGTTGGATTTTGAGGGTTTTGAGTGAGTTTTTTATGTTTATTACCGCATATCCTCTAATAGAAGCCAACTCAAATCGTTAACTTTGAGCTCAATCATCTCGATTCCTGTGAGAGATATCAAAAACTTGATAACTGATAAAGTATTGGTGATAATATTATTGTCATAAATAATTTATCAGTTGACAAGTTTTTGATATCTTTCACAATAATAAGTTTTTGATATGTTTCACAATGATTCTTTCGAGCCGGGTTATTCTCATTCATATAAAAAGACGCAGCCTGTCAGACAGTCTCGTTTCTCTGTGTGTCTTCTTTCGAATTTTCAAATTGCTGTAATTAGGCTCAGAGTAGTCGTAGAAAATGGATTTTCGGTGCGCTTTAAAGAATAGTCTCTGATTTTCCAATTTTTCTGAAATTCCAGAACGTGTATGTCATCTCTATCTTCCGCATTCTCATCAGTAGTTCCACCACTCACTGGATTGGTTCCGAAATCATCTCAAAATCGAAAATTCAATCGTGAAATGGAGATATTTTCAAATGTTACTCATGGATTTGGCATCGTTTCTCAACCCACATGGATTCGTCAAATGTTGAAAATTGGAGAGAAAATGGAGGAAATTGTTAAGAAGGAGAAGAAAGAGAATGGAAAGAAAGAGAAGGAATAGAAGTTTCTTATGTATTGCTCATTTTGATTTGGAAGTTTGAGCACAATATTTGAAAACCCCTTTTGTGAGAATTGTCTTTGTACTGTTTTGTACACTTTTTCTTATTTACTCGATAATGGATATTAATCTTGAATAAAAAAAAATTTAGTTACAATTAATCGAAGTTCCAGTTTAGCATGTACCCAAATAATCGTAATAAGCAAAGTGTAGGAAATTCAAGGTGCAGACTAAACATTCCGTTTTTTGGAGAAGGAAACGCAAACAGATCAAAAATTGATCTGGTCTTATAGTCTGTTGGATTTCCGATTCGGCGGGAGGGGGAACACCGAAGTCTTGACCACCCACGTATCAAGCATACATTGAGAAATGGTCAAACTGTGATAGTTGAATCTACATACAGACCAGAAGAACAAAAATGTGTCGAATTTTTTAATAAACAGTTTTTAGAAATTTGGGGTTCAGACTTTCTGAAAAAAGGTTTGGGAAGGTGCGTGGGATAAGAGAGTACTCATTTTTAGAGTTCAAATCGTAAACCGAAAATTGACTGGAGTTGAAATGAGATATATGTCTCTTCAAATCAATTATCTCGTTTCGTTGGCTTGGAACTAAAAAAAGTTGTCAATTACAAAAACGAAGCTCTAGTGTTGATTAGCGTTATCTGAAATGTTCAGACAAATTGAACAAGTCTAGACTACTCTTTCAGAGCTGCTCAATTGACTTGTTTCCGTTTGGCGAAATTTAAACATGTTTGTTTGGTACTACAGTACCGGTAAATAAAATACACAAAACGAACTTATCAGTATATTTTTGGCCATTTTGACCATTTTCAGGAGTCTTGAGCTCTGCTAGTTTGAAAAAAACTGCATTCACACAATTTTCTCTAAATTGCTAGTTTTTTAGATATTGGCCGATTTCTGAAAGACACCTTTTTGGTATAAAAACGGGTCAAAAAAGGGTATATTTCAAAATCGCCAAATAGCTGACAAACTAGGCATTTTAGAAAATCTATGTGTATGCAAAGTTTATCATCCAGTTCTGTTTTACACTCTCTAAAAATTTCAGAGTGATCGGAAACTTAACAGTCGAGCTACAGACTCCTGAAAATTGTCAAAGTGACCGAAATTCACCGAAAAATAAATGTTTGTATATCTTATTGACCGGTACTGTATATCTTCTTGAAAACTTAACTCTTTGAATCTCTAGCTTCAAATTTTACTGATCGGAAATGACCACACCAAGATTATGACGTACGCTTCAATTTGATACAAATAAAGAGAACCTTGCTCAACCAAAGAATGTGAAACATTTTTCGGCCTACATATGTAGTCTAGTTCAACCTCTCATTAGCGTGAGCCACCAATCTCAGATAATATTGACTTTTAATCTTGTTCTTTGTCTCCTTAACAAGAAGATACCTTCTTTTCCGAAGGTGTGGGCGATCTGTGGGTGGTCAAGCTGTTGATATTCCTTTAGTCCCGCTCAAAGTCTACAAAACCGCTTTTAGGGTCTTTTCGTTTGTGTCAACACACACGGTTCCCGTATAAAAGCACTTTTTTGCTCTCAGTGCATATATTTCCTGAGCAATGTACTATCAAGCCGAGTCGGAGCTCGGTCTGAACTTCTTGAAAACTCTTCCAGCTGCTCATAACGAGTCTTTGGTGTTTTCACCAGTGTCAATTGCTTTGGTACTCGCTTTGGTTCATACTGGAGCACTCGGAAACTCGAAGAAGCAAATCGAGAACTCACTGCTGAACAAGGCCAATTGCAACAATTGTCAGTTCGTGAATCATTTTTCGAATGTTTACAAAAACCTGCAGAAGGGAATTAATGGAGTGGAGGTCAACATAGCAAATAGACTTTATTTAAAGTGAGTTGGTCAGGGTTTGACTTTGGTAAACGAGATATGGTTTTTCAGGAGAGGTTCAACTGCCAAACGAATGTTCTTATCTGCCATTTCTCTGAACTATGGATCAGAAGCCCGTGCTTTAGACTTCCGTACCTCGGACGCCATGCAAAAAATTAATGGCTATGTCAAATCTTCAACCAAAGGAAAAATCGAAAGAATTATCACTTGCCAGGACTCTATCAGAAGTGCCAATGGCCTTCTTATAAACGCAATGTCATTCAAAGGTGGATGGGAAGATGGATTCCCTCAACTTCCAGGAAAACAACTTTTCCATAAAAATGAACGTGAGGGTGTTCTAATGGGAATGTTAGCAGATAACAGTATTCGTGGATACTCATCGGATGACGTCTTCCAAGTGTTAACATTGAAATATGTGGACCCAAGATTCCAATTGTCAATTTTCCTACCAAAACGAAGAAATGGGTTAAACGATGCGCTCAAGAAATTGGACAACCGCAGATTTGAGAACCTTCTGGATAATGTGAAACCAACATTGGTCAATGTAAGGCAACTTTATCAACTTTACAAGTTTTACATGGTCCCAAAATTTCTATGAATTCTCGAATTTTAGACCGAGCTCCCAAAGTTCTCCGTCAATTATCGTCTTTCCCTGAAGAACTCCCTCAAGGCGATTGGAATCACCGAGATGTTCTCCGACTTCGCTGATCTTTCTGGAATTGCTGATAAAGCAAAATTATCGGAAGGAATTCACAAATCCTCTATTCAGGTTCATATACTTCCAAAATTTATATATCCTCCCTCTCATTGTGATTTTTCCAGCTCTCCGAATCCGGTACCGGTACAGGATGCACATTCCAAGATAGTCCAGCAGCGTCACCAGGAATCGGAGCTGGTGCCACTCCAAACGGAGCCTCTACATCGATTGGATGCGGTGCTACGGTCGCGAAAACCATCCGCGTCCTTCCAATAGTTCGTACTGGAAATCCATTTCAATTCAAGGCAGATCACCCATTCTTGTTTGCTTTGAGCTATTTGAATCATTCAATTTACATGGGCGTATATAGAGGGTAATTAATATGGACCACATGTCTAATTATGTTTGTATGTTTCGTGTTTTTATTATGGATAATTTATTGGAAATTCGATCGATATCTCTTTATTTAAAAATAAAAGTTAGAATCCATGAAAAACTCCCAAAAACAGTGGATGTCCATCTCGAACCAAAGAGAATAAAAACGGATGATTCGCCTTGAACTCGACGGGTTGCTCCATTCTTAAACACATCGGAACTGCTTTGATTACTGTAGCTGCTGCAGCAGTGGTACCCTCCTCATTCACTTCAACCAACGCTTTATGCGTGACATCAGAGATTTTGATGTTTTCAGCGATTCCAGATAAGTCAGCTTGGTCGGAGAGGATTTCAGTAATGCCTAGAGTTTGTAGGGTTTCTTTTAGATTCAGCTCTTTTTCAATGGAGAATTTTGGGATTTCAGTCTGGAATTACTTCTTAAATTTTGTTGGCGTTTTTTGAGAATGAACTCACATTCATATAGGTTCTTTCTGCACTATTCAGCAAGTTCTGGAATTTGTCAGCATCCAAATTTTCCATCGCATTTGCCAACCCATTGTGAACTTTTGGTAGGAAAACCGCAAATTTGAAACTTGCATCCTTGTAGTTCAAAACAAGTGTTTGGAAATTTTCATCTGACGAGTATAATCGATCGGTTTCCATCTCTCTTAAAAACGGGATTGCCATAAGTTCTCCAGATTTCAAAGTAAATTCTCTTGGAGATGTCAAATCCATCTCGAATTCTTCATCCCACTTCCCTTTGAAGTAGATAGCATTCACTAGAAGAGCAACAGCGTCAGAATTTGAATCCGTTGAAACCAGGTTGTCAAGTTTTCCATGAGTAGAGTCTCGAATGAAGGCGTTGATTTTTTCCGCGGATTCTGGGTTTTCCAAATCGAGGGATTCGGCACCTGCATTGTAATTTTCAGCAATTTCAGTAAGGTACTCTTTGTTGATTTGAACAGTGTTTCTGAAAATCTCCGTATAACGCTTAAAACTCTTCTTATCCTCACCTTAAGAACACTCGATTTGCTACACACACCTCCGTCTCATTTTCAGCAGTTTTTAGAGATTTTGACAAATTTGAATAGTATTTCACGAAACTTTCAGAATCGGCTCCACCCAGTAGAACCTTCTCGATTTCAGCTCTCGACTCTCCTTTAGCTCCGGAATGTACCAGAGATAGTGCCAGCGACACTGATAGCGGAGAAAAAACCAAAGATTCTTGATTGCCAGATGACAAAGTGTTCAAATAATCCAAGCCAAATTTGGTCTCGGCAATGAGATTTTGGTCTTTGGTGACCGGTTTCGCCATATCAAAATTATGAACGGTAGAGAAGTCACGGTTTTCTGAACAATACTAACAATAAGAATCAGATGAGAGAAAAAAAATCTATAAGAAACGAAATTCGCAACAGTATATGAGTCGTGAAACCGAAAACTGACTGAATAACAAAAAAAAAATAAAAGGTCAATCAGAAATCAAAAAGGGAGAGAGAAGAAAACGTCGAGAGATTCAGAAACAGTAAACAACACATTCTGTGTAATCGAAAGAACACATATATTTTCCTTTTAACACTCCTTTTCGGTGTGGCAGTAAAGATCAAAGGGTCAAATGAATTGTATCTTGAAGGAGGGTTTTCGTAAGGGTTCAAAGATTTTTCAACTAATGAAATGTACAGAATTATATGCTGAATAAGGTCCTTTTACGTCTTTTACTTTTTAGGATTTCTTACTTTTCAAAAAGTATTTCTAAGAGCCTCCTATAAAAGTGCGCTAAACTTTTCTGATCCCAGTCGATCTCTTCTAATTTTTTGAGAACCCTAAACTGAAATAGAGTCAAAAAATTTGAAGGCGGAACTGGGAAGAGTTTCATATGGAAGATCAGCAGGCACCGGCGCAGCATCTTTAAAACCTGGCTCATTATAATTCGCAATTAAATATTTTTCTTTTACATAACTCTTAACAAAATCACATCATTTCAAATGTTCAAAAAATGTATTGTGCAGTTATTTCAAGGAGTTTGAGAAAGCAACAAACAAGCCGCTGCCGGGATCACCACCTGGACATTGTTCACGAACTAAGCTCGGAGCCAATTGCTCAACGGGTTATAGGTACATGTGATGTAATTCCAGTCAACTGAAAAGTTTAAATTTAACGATTTTAGACGTTTTGAAATTTACTATTATTGGGTCATAGTTCGCGCTGAAAACCACTGCACTGTATCCTTTCTCGCATTCCATATTGAATTTGCAGCTTGCTGACTATTCGTTCGCACCAATCTGGACATCCTTGTATTCGCCTTTTCGGTCATAATTCTCTAGATCAATTCTGTTGTTGATTTGCGGAAAAGCTCCACACTCGCATTTAGAACCCGCTCCAAACACTGCTTCTAGAGAGTTGCATTCGATCCATAGACTGTTCAGCTGCTTGTTAGCAAAATACCATGCAAACTTGGTGTCGTTTTCTTTGACCCACATCAATTCCTCGAAAAATCCGTCTTCAGGTTTCCGAGCTCCGCCCGTTGTGATATAAGCATCCGTGGAGTGAAGCATTGGATACAAGTTATCGGGACACTCGGAATTGTGCAAGGAACCTTGATGGGCCGGCAGATCGCATGAAGTGACTTTCACTGGATCTTTAACTTTAATTATTGGCACTTGAAACTATTCACGTCAGCAACACATGCAAATCCCAGGTCAAAAACTGGATAATCATGAAAATACCATTGATGGGCTCCATCGGTATGAGGACGGCAATCTAAAGAGCCAATGTATCTCGGTTGCTCAACAAAAGTATTTTTATTGTTGATCACTCTATTGATCTGAACACATTTATTTTTCTGGGACCTTTCTCGAATCCTTAAACTCACATAAATCGGGCTCCTTTTTGCTTCTCAAACCAACAGTGTAGTAGTTTGGAACACCTGGAATCGGATCACATTGAACATTGAATGTACACAAATCTTTGTCGACGCTGATTGTTGGATTCCAAGACTGTTGATTTTTTAAGTATTTGCCTCCCTCGTTGTTGCTGATGAAATCGTTCATACTGTACATTTTGAGAGGTGGACATTTACAGTCTCCTATCGGGATCGGCGGAGGTGTTGAAGATATCGGTGAAGATGTTGTTGGTTTAGGCTGCCGGACCCAACAGCTGTGATCTGTTGGTGAGAAAATGAGGATTAGAAGAACTTTTGTCTATACTACTTCAAAATTATTTTTTTATTGTGTATAACTCTCAACAGAAACACATCATGTCAAATGTTACAAAAATTTATTGTGAAGTTATTTCATGGAGTTTCATGGAGAGACAAACAAGCCCCTGCCGGGCTCACCAGTCGGACACTGTTCACAAACCAGGATCGGAGCCAATTGGTCAACGGGTTATAGGTGCATGTGATGTAATTTCCAGTCAACTGAAAAATTTCAATTAAACAACTTTAGACAATTTAAAACGTACTCTAATTGGGTCATAGTTCGCGCTGAACACCACTGCACTGTATCCTTTCTCCCATTCCATATAAAATTTGCAGCTTGCCGACCAACTATTCGCACCAATCGGCACACCCTTATATTCGCCTTTTCGGTCATACTTCTCCAGATCTTCTCTGCTATTGATTCGTGGAAAAGCACCACACTCGCAAACAAGCTCCGATCCGAATGCTGCTTCTATAGAGTTGCATTCGATTGTCAGGTCTTTCAGCTGCTTGTTAGCAAAATACCATTCAAACTTGGCATTGTCTTCTTTAACACACATCAATTCCTCGAAAATGCCG